CTTCTGCTTACTAAGTAAAGATACTATCTTTTTTTTCTGTTTTAAGCTGGCTGGGATTCTCCTATCCTAGGGCAGTGGTTTCATATTTCTTTTTTGTTCTCCCCAATATCCACACCCACTCAAGCATATGACTGAAACTACATTTATGGTGAGTCAGGATTGAAGGCATCTTAGACTAAGTTTTGTCATGGATTCATTGGGCAACACTAAGTTTTCCAAGTTTTTCCAAGATTTGTGAAGGATAGAATCTTCATTACCCTTTTGTTAGTCTCTCCCCTAACACCATAAGGAAAAAAACATTGGACTTCCTCTCACCTCAACTTCTCTCTCTCTCTCTCTCTCTCTCTCTCTCTCTCTCTCTCTCTCTCTCTCTTCTCTCTCTTCCCCTTCCCCCCCCATAAAACTTTTATTGCCTGGCATCTATTAACAAATAACAACATTATATAGATGTTGAATTATGAAAATGAAAAATGTATTTTTGAAAGATGCCGCATTAAGATTTGTGACTTCTATTTACAGAACTTGGTGCTCTGCCCAAAGGTCATAAAGCCAATAAGGGTTTGGAGAAGCCATAGGCTTACTGGCACCCTGCCATTTAAGGTTAAATAAAGGATATATAAAATAAATGATAAAGGAGATGGGGGAGGGGAGCATTCTCCGTACACACAAGTGAGTTAAGGTTAAGGTGGAGACAGACCAAAAATTGAAATGCCTCATTATCTGGAAAAACCTTCTGGAGGAGAGGAACCTTGTCTTTGGAGACTTAGAGAAAGCATTATAGAGAGCAGAGCACCAAGTTCTGTAAATAGAAGTTCCAACTGCCCAGGAAAGCATAAATGTGGGAAGCAAGGATGATATTTGTCTTTGTTTTTCATTTTCATAATTTAACATCTATATAATGTTGTCATTTGTTAGTAGATACCAGGCAAGAGTCTGAGGCCAAATTTGAACTCAGATCCTCCTGTCTCCAGGGCCAGTGCTCTATCCATGGAGCTACCTCACTCCCTTCATGCCATGCTAATTTGTTTCATTCAGATGACATAAGCCAGGGTAGATACATTTCTCCCTGTATTATCCCAAAACAAAATAAAGAATAATAGTTGATATTTGCATTCTTCTTTGAGGTTTACAAATAACATTACAGATATTATCTCAAATAATCCTCACAAAAATCCTGTGCGGTAAGCATTCTGTCCCATAGGATCACAGATTTAGAGCTGGACAGGACCTTAAGTGCCACCTAGTGCAACCTCCTCATTCTATAGATGGAGAAACCAAGGCTGGTGGAAAGAAGGTAACTTGCTCAATGCCACTGAGTCAGTAAACAGCAAATATCCATGATATGGAAGGAGAGATTGTGGCTGAAGACAGTTAAGTGGTTGTCCAAGGCAGCAAGGGTCTGAGACGGGAGTGGTCTTTCTGACCCCCCAAGTCCAGTGTTCTAATATGATTCTTCCACAAACAAGAAAATGTCCCTTTTCCTAGAGCAGGGATTTGTTCCAGACAGAACTGAATGAGTCAAAAGGAAAATAGAATGATATTCGACGTTCTGAAGTCTGCCACCACAAGGCGTGGCAATCCCTTATCAGAAGACCAGGATGTGTGTCAGTATTAGAGACCCACTATCTAAGGGCTCTGAGGCAATATATAGAAAGTGTTAGTAAGGGAGTGAGTATTTTGAGAAAGTCATGAGAAAGCATCATAAAGTCAGTCTGTGTATGTGTCAGAGTTAGTAAGCAAATACTTAAACTGAACATAGGCAAAGAGGAAGCTTATTGCTTATATATGTTGTATTTCTAGTAATAGCTGGCAGCATTTACAGGCAAAACTGTCCCATCAATTATTTTAAATGCAATTCAAGAAGCATTTTATGTACCTACTACTACTAGGTGTGGGAGATACAAAGGAAAAAAAAACCAGTCCTTGTCCTTAAGGAGTTTACCTTCTCCTGGGGCAGAGGCATCTAAATTTTCTCACTACACAGTTCCCTTAGGCCAAAAAAAATTCCTAACAGTTCCACTAAGTAGTTAGGCATAAATCATTTCAAAAGCATCTATGCCCTAACAACATGGTAGCTGTTTAAAAAAATACACATAATTGAAAGAAAAAAATATTTTTATTCCATTCATTTTTTCATCCTAATGGGTTGTATGTATCTGTAGGGCACTGCACAACTTTGCAAACCTTGCAATCAGATTGGACCGCTGCCAACCTCATTTCCTGTTCTACATTGATTTTTGAGCCCTACTTGCTGAAAATTCAGGTTTGCAAAGATATGATTGCACAAACTGAATTAGGATTCAATAAGCACTGTGTTTCTCTTGAAAATTTAAAATACCTTCTTGGTACCTGTGACTTCCCTGCAACAACTAGTTTGGGAACCCCTGTACTGGGAGAAAACAACATGAATTTAGTTAAGCAAATACCATGTGTGTATATATACACACATATGGAGAGAGACAGAGACAGAGAGAGACAGAGAGAGACAGAGAAAGAGAGACAGAGTTTGTGAGTGAGAACACTAACAAGGGTAGGGGTGGGGAACCTGCCCCTCAAGGCCACATGTGGCCTTCTAGACCCTGGCCCTTTGACTGAATCTGAGCTTCACAGAACAAATCTCCTTCACAAAAGGATTTGTTCTGTAAAACTTGGACTCAGTCAAAGGCCACACTTGAGGACCTAGAAAGCCACATATAGCCTTGACACCACAGGTTCCCCACTCCTAAACTAGGGGAATCAAGTTTTGCAGCATTTTGTACACATTATTCTATTTACCCTTAACAGCAATCCTGAAGTAAAAACAAAACAGAATTTGATTTCACAAATTCTGCCAGATGAGGGATTTGGACTAGTTTTGACATCTGAGAACCCCTTCCCCCTTGAGCATTCTATGATTCTGTGATTCCAGATTAAGTAGACTGTAAACCCTATCCATAACCTAGTGCTTTGTAACTATTGCTTTGTGTATAAATGTTTGCTGAATTGAATCCTGTTTGCAGTGTTTAGTGTAAGAAGAAAGTAACATGTTTATTGTTGTCAGAGATGATTAACAACGCCTTTCTAACTATATTTCTTTAAAGATTTGGTTATCTCAAAGGGCAGCAGTGGATAGAGCACTGGCCTGGAGTCAGGAGCACCTGAGTTCAAATCCAGCCTCAAGACACATAATACTTACTAGCTGTGTGACTCTGGGTAAGTCACTTAACCCCAATTGCCCCGCCAAAAAAAGAAAAGAAAAGAAAAGAAAGACAGAAATATTTGGTTACCTCATTAGAATCATTGCTACTTGTGGGCAAGTCATTTAATGTCTCAGTTCACTAATCTGCAAAATGTAGGACTGGACTAAATGACTTCTGAGATCCCTTCCATGCTTAAATTCATACCTGAGAACCTGGAAGAATGGTAATTGTTTCAATATGAATTAATTAATGAATGAAAAAGCACTTTTTAATCACTCATTATGTACAAATTGGGAGCCAACACGTGCAGGACGTTTCAGCTGCCAGTCATGGTCCTTAAGGTTTGGTTTAACAGTATCTCTTCTCAGTTAGTAACTAATATCTATTTCTGATATTGAACCACTTGACAGTGCCAAGGACTTTGGTGGGAAAAATGTGTGGGATGTGGGAGTTGCAGCACCTTCAAAAGCAGTTGCTAAATCATATCTCCATAAAGGTTGTGTCCCTGGATGGTGGCTACGGGGACTGTAGACTGGTATTTTGAGGGGTGCTGCTATTTCTGAGGCTTCTGGGCCCAGAATAAATATGTCAGCTGCAGTTGGTGGTCTGAAGGTGGTAGCCACCTTGGACTGGAAGCAGGCCCCATTTTGTGAGGAGTGGTGCTATTTCAGGGTCCTAGAATGTCTCCACTGGGGTATGAGGGAAGGAGGTGGTAGTAGTTTGATTCACCTGGCACAGGATGCTTCATATGTCTCTCTCGCTCTCTCTCTGCCTCACTGCTTCAACTAGATTAGCTTACTTAAGGGAAAAAAAAAGATTTATAAAAGAAAGTTGAATAGCATGGGAGGTATCACATTTCCTAAGATAGGGGAAAAAAAAACACTTCCATACAACACAAAAGGTGGAATTGCATTCATTGAGAGCTAGTGATACAAGCAGGACTTAATGGAAAGAACTTTGTTTCTGGAATCAAACTTACAGTATTGCTCTCTTGATGTGTTTAGAGGGAGGGGATTGTACTGGAAGGACTCAGATGAAGAAATCCAGGCCCAGAGAGGTTAAACACTTGCACAGTGTCACAAAACTGGTTAGCATCAGAGGCTGAATTCATGACAAGTGGGATGTGAACCCAATATACTTTCAAATTTCTTAAAGAATATATCAGTCTAAACAAATGCAGAACAAAATGTCTATCATGATTGGTGCTTTGTAAAAGTCAATCAGTATGCCCTAGCCCAAAGGGTACCTATGTTTCTTTTCCAGCTGCTCTAAAGCTGTTGTATTTGGTTTCTTAATCTGGTCATTGTATGTTTATTTCTGTCCTGTTCTCCATCCCTTTCCCTGAAAGGGAGAGACAGGGATGGTCCCCTCCCAGACTCTCCAAAGGAAGAACTTGATAACAGGTGAAAGAAAAGTTGTTTCTTACCTCCCCTCCCCTCCCCTCCCCCACACACTTTGGTGTAGCAAGGTTAAGGGGCAAAGCTTTTTTTCCCTAAAAACTCAAGGCCCAAGTTGGGAGGAGTCTGGGGTCTTGAGAAAAAAGAGTTGACAAGTAATTACTTCTTGCTTTTCCTTATCAGTTTTTTCTCTGCATACAGGATTGTCCGGAAATGTGTCCCTGTCCTCATGAATTAAGGGAAGGCACCGACCTAACAGCCCATGAAGGGGTGTGGAAGAGTTCGAAGCTCAGCTCCCCACTTCAGAGACTAAGGGCAAGGTTTGTGAGGTGAGGAGAAAAGAGGGTGTGTATAAATGATTGGTGGGAGGAGCCCCGGGTAGATCCGGCGCTGAGGGCGGGCCGGGGAGGGGCCGCCTGATTGTTTTCTTGGCTGATGGCCCAACTGACACCCCCTCCTGAGCTGCTGCAATGCAAATATCCAGCCTCTGGTCCTGTGCAACTTTTCCCTCTTTCTGGAGTCAACTTCTAGCCCACTGCTAGGAAAGGGAAAGAGAAAGAGGTTGAGAGGGTCCACTTCGGAACTTTCTTCGCTTTCTTTTAGTCCTCTGCAAAGGCATTCTTGGGTACACCTAAGTGCTGCTTTCGCCCCAGATACCAACCGAACGAAGGATGGGGGAAGTCAGAAACTGGGGCGCTCTGATGCTTCTCAGTCAAGGTAAGTAAAAGTCTTGCCATCTGCAGGGTTTTGTTTTTTTTTTAATAAAGCGAGAGATCTTTTTACCAGCTCGGGAAAGAGAATTTAGTGCTGGGGGGCAGAAACGTGATCTTGGGAAGAAAAGTTTCTGAAGGCACCAGGCTATCCCTTCTTGGACAGGGACTGGAGTAAGAGATGAGTGGACAGACAAACCGATGGACTGACGAACGGAGGGTCGCGGCTGCGCGAGTTTCAGAGGAATTCTCTTGGGAACTGCAGCAGCCAGATTGTCCCCAGGGTGCTGGGCATGCAAGCAAAAGGGAGGCTTTGGAAACAATTTAAAATCCTATCACCTGCCTACACCCAGCCCTTCCCCACCCCACCCCAGCCTTCTGCCTGCACACCTTTTGTGTTCAACTTTTCACTTTCCCTTCCCCCTACTTTCCCCACCACTCTTCAGTCTTTTTTTTTTTCTTTTGGCAAATGGGAAGCGGGTTGGTGGATGGTCTTCGAGGCTATCTGATAGCTTTTGGTTAGACTTTCCTGAGATTAGATGCGTTGTTTTCAAAGGAAACTTTCCAAGCTAAGACTGACAGGTGCTACGACCACTACAGAGCCAGCCCGCCGCCTGTTCCCCGCCCTCACAGTGGAGGTGCGAGAGTGCGGAAGGATGGAAGGAAGAAAGGGGCTGGGGGGCAGACAGGAGCTCGCCCCGTATTCCCAGACTGTTCCCTCCCCCCCGCCCCGAGCCAGCCCTTCCTTGCCCAGCGGTCTCCCCGACACAGGCTGTTTGTTGCTTTCGCAAAGCAACCGGTGACCCACTGCCCTCTACGTCCGGGCCTCCCAAGAAGAGAAGTCGCCTTTACTCTTTCCTTGTCTCCCAGCCGCTTTGTAGGTGTTTCCTCTCTGGCATAACTCGGGAAAACCGACGGCTCTTAATCAATGTTTGGCAAAAGGGAGTTCTTCCTTCCCCTCTGCTTTCTCCCTATTGTTGACTGTATTCAGCTTCTGAAAACTCCAGGAGGGAAGAATCGTTCCCACGTTTCTGTGATAATGTAGACAGCACAGACAGTGCCTCGAACTGGACTTCCCTGTTGATGACGGCCTGGAACTGAAAAGCCTTGCTTAGAACGTGTTGGCAATTAGCAGTGATGGAGATAGTTAGGGAATGAATCTGATGTCCATTGTTCCCGGAGTAGTGCTCAAGAACAGTTTAGAAAGATTAAGGTAGATGTCATGGCATTGAAGTCCTACCCTCTATCTATTCCGGAAAAGGAAAATTGTTCTCTGACCTTGAATATCTAGCTGGTGACCTTTGCATTTTTTTTTCATAGTGACCATCAAAAGCATCATGATGCAGTGTTAGCTGTGGGTTAGGGAAGACATGCAATAGAAAAGGACTAAAGTCAAGTCAGAGGTTTGAGTCTCAGCTCTGCTGCTCATTATCCCTGTGATCTCAGGAAAGTCATTTCACTGTATGGGCCTCAGATTCCTTAAATGATGGAGTTGGACCAAATAATCTCAGAAGTCACTTCTTACTCTAAATCTGAGATCCTATAACCTGGGGTAGTTTTACTTCCCTGTGCCTTCCAGCAATTTTGCTAGGCCTTAACTAAGTAGGATCCTTTGCCTCCTTGCTAAAGGTTTTTAAATAAGCATCCTCAGTATACCTTTTAGGTTAACAAATTTTACTGACGAAAAAAAAAACAAGTCATGGAGTTTTAGCATTAGGCCTGGAGAGAGATCAACCCTGCATGGGTAATTGAGTAGAATAAAAATCATGTGCCCTGCACTAGACCACTGATCTCTACTAGAAGAGGCCCTTGAATAGAGTCCAATCCTCTCCTTCCCTGAAAACTGGAAAGGGTAGAAAATGAAGATCTTTTTGTGGTACCTACCAGTCTTGGTCTAGGACTGTGTTAATGATGGAAAAAAATCTCATAATCTTAATTCCTTTATCGTCTTCATGTTATTTATCAACATTGAAAATCAGCTAGAGGATGTGGGCTGAAAAATGTCACTGTTTTCCCTTCTCCTGGTTGCTTCATCTGAGGAGAAACTGCGGAAACACAAGCTTGTTTTCATGGGAGTGTCCTAACTTGTTCTTTCAGGAACCCAGACACACCTGAGTGGAATGTGTTGCTGCAGGGCCTCATCAGACACAAGGATTTTAGCCTGTAGTGATTAAGACCTACTGAATACAAACATCTCTTAATTCTGAAAAGATAGAGATGATTTAAAATCACAAAGTGAAAAAAAGTTTACTTACTTCATTTTCTGTCATTTTACTCTTCTAACAAGAAGTTGCATTCCCGAGGAAGAGAGCTTTAGCTCAAGTCCTTATGACTATGATATATAAAAACAGATTTATGGGTTGGGAATATCTATAAATCTTCGTAGTTAAGCAGGAAAATGCCTTTGAATCCTTCATGATCCATGCTAAATGTGTAATGGGAGACAACATGAGTCATTGACATCTAGATCTAATCTCCAACCACTAAATCTTGGTCATTGCTTAAGTAAGGACTAGACCCTTGGGGGAGGAGAACCCTGTGCTTCCCAGAACACCACTAACTTGTTATCCGAGGCCAGGGCTAAGCAAAATTATGAAGTTGGGATACCTAGCCCCTCATCTTTCCCCTTCTGTAGCTCTCTTCTAGTGTGATCCTGAGTCAAGTCACTTAATCTATGTTTACCTCAGTTTTCATAACTGTAAAATAGAGGCAATAATAGCACCTACCTTCCAAGATTGTTTTAGGACTCAAATGAGATATTTGTGAAATACTTAGCACAGTACCTGGCACATAGTAAGCAATTAACAAATACTTGTTTCCTTCCTTCATTTCTTCCCTCCTTTTGCTTAACTTTCCTTCAAGATTTGGTGTTCCTCTGCTCCCTCTGGCATCACAGAGGCCGCTGTTTCCATGTCCTGCTCAGGACTGCCTTTTCTGGGAATGTTCCATGCTTCAAAAGCATCCCTTCCTTTTCCTCTTGTAACTCTGCCTATGAAAACTCCTAGTTGCTGGTAGCAATTAATGGGGGAAGGAAAATTATGCTAGAGAGGTGACTACTGAGTTTCTTCTCTTTTGAAAATTCTGGTTCAAGGAAAGCCTGTGATTAAGAGGGTGTGTGTGTGTGTGTGTATGTATGCATGCCATCCGGCTGGGATGACACATGTTGATCCAAAGGGAAGCATCTTGGTGACACTTTAGTGAGCAGTACAAAGTGAAATAAAGTATTTCAGGCACTGTGGGGGAGATATTTTTTGGTCTAGAGGCCCTTCCATTCAAAGTCTAACTCCAACCACAAAGACTGTTTACTCTGCCTACTTATAAGCCTGGAGCAGGATGTTCCTGAGATAGGAAAGAAAAAAAAAAGGAGGAAACTATATAGAGTTATCATAGAATGTTTAAGGTGGTAGAGACCATGGAAAAAATAATAGCTAACTTTTATATAGCCTTTTGAAAGACAGCAACTTATAGTGTGAATGAAAGCCACTGGATTTAGAATCTAGTAGACATGGGTTCAAGTCCTGTCTCTGACACATACTGACTGTAGTACTCTGGGCAAGTCACTTAAACTCTCAGTGTCCCTGCAAATTCTCTAAAATCATAATTTGCAGAATACTTGTGATCCACAATGGTAGAAGGAGTTTCTTTGTTGGGAATTCCCTACACAAGAAATCCACAAACATTTTGGTCTCAGGACCCCTTTACTTTCTTAAAACTTATTGAAGCCCCCAAAGAACTTTTGTTTATGTCCATCAGTCTATCTATTGCGCTACCTAGCTGCCTTAAATTTAAATTAAAATATCTTAGTATTATCTTGAAAATACTTTTGACCTTGAGGGCCCCTTGACAGGGTCTTGGGAATCCTTATGGATCCCTAGACCACACTTTGAGAACTAGGCAAAATTGTCTATACAATGTTCCCTACACAATGAAATCCTCCTCACCCCCAAAAGGGGTATGTGTGTGTGTATTTATGCATGTAGTTATTTAATGTTGGCAAACCTTATCTCACTGGATCCTCACACAATCTTTTAAGGTAAATATGAGAGAAATTATTGTCCCTATTTTATAGATGAAAATACTGAGGCTCAGATAGGTTTAGTGACCTACCCACAGTCACAGAGTGAGTATTAGAGCAGGGTTCTAACTAATGTCTGTTTACTCCAAGCTAAAATTCATTCCACTAGAACATGCTGCTTGCAGGTTTAATCATTTTCTGAATGGGGAAACTGAGATCCAGAGAGATGAAGGGAGTTGTTTGAGGTCATGTGGCTTAAGGCAAAGATGGGATTCAAGCTCAGCTCTCCTGGTGCAGTGCTCTTTCAGTAATGTAACATGCCTTCTTATCACTATGATCACAAAGACAAAAATGGAGGTCGTTTTCCAACCCTTTCAGGTGACCGGTTCTCTGTAACTATTAGTAGAAGGACTGGAATCTAAGAATGCTTCAAAGGACCAGGTTGCATCAGCTGATGAAGTGTCTGTGTATATACACACATACACACGCATATACATATACGTATATGTATATACACATATGCATACATACATGTATATATATTTTTTCCATAAGGTAAGGAAAATAGAGCTAAGTAGGATGAATTTTTTTTGCAAAGTAAATTATAATATATGCTTGTAATTATTTTGTATTTAAAGTGCATTTGCACAAATAGGAGAGAGATAATCATAAATTATTTTTAAAAAATTTGTGTCATTTGATGGGACTTCTAGTATTAAGTTTCAGAGAAGATGCTCCCCTTTATTGGAAGAGGAGGTTTTCCTGTAAGCAATGAAATCAAAAATCCCCATCCCTTCAGGTGACCAAATGATTTACCAGGGAGGATGCACTCAAACTGTTCTCTGCAAGGTTATCAGTGTCCTCCCAAATGCCAATTCCTCATCACTGTCCTCATCCTTAAACTTTCCGTAGCCTTTGACACTTTTGCCCACAGTCTCCTTCTTGTTCTTCTACCTTCCTCATCACTTCTCCATCTCCTCCACTGGTTCCTT